CGGGAGCCCGCAGCCGGCGTGTGGCACCACCCCCGCGACCGGCACCGCCTGCAGCAACACACCCAGGATCCTGCCCCCCCGTCAGCCCCGGGCGAGGCTTCGGCTTTCTCCGCTGTATCCCAGCCGCACCGGCTGGCTTTCGGCCCTCCTGGGGTTCTCCGAGTGCGTTGCTGGGCTGCGCATCAGAGAGCAAAACCCGGCATCTCAGGGGTGCAAGAGTAACCCGAGTTTTGTGACAGTCATTGCCGGTGGGAAGTCGTTTCTGGTCACCGCAAGCGACACCTCGCACCTCTGTGCAGGGCGGGTTAAGAATGGGAGAGAAGCTATTTGGAAGCTGATATGGAACCCCCAACATCAGAAGGATATTGACCACTTGGAGCGAGTCCAGAGGAGGCCACGAAGATGCTCCGAGGGCTGGAGCACCTCTGCCATGGGGACAGGCTGAGAGAGTTGGGATGTTCAGCCTGGAGAAGAGGAGGCTCCGAGGACACCTCATTGCAGCTTTCCAGTACCTGAAGGGGCTACAAGGGTGCTGGGAGAGGACTTTTTACAAGAGCCTGTAGTGACAGGACAAGGGGTAATGGGTACAAATTGAAAGCAGGGAAGTTTAGATTAGATATCAGGAAGAAATTCTTCCCAGAGAGGGTGGGGAGGCACTGGAACAGGTTGCCCAGAGAAGCTGTGGATGCCCCATCCCTGGAAGTGTCCAAGGCCAGGCTGGATGAGGCTTGGAGCAACCTGGTCTAGTGGAAGGTATCCCTGCCCATGGCAGGGGGTTGAAACTGGATGATCTTTAAGGTCCCTTCCAACCCAAACCATTCTGTGATTCTATGATTCTATTTCTCAGAACCACCAGCACTACAAGAAATTAAAAGGCAAGTGGAGAGGTCTGTTGCTTAATCCAATATATATCATCACCAAACAAGCTTCTGCAACCAGGACTTTGAGCTCCTAAATTGACAGAAGTGACCCCAGCAGGCTGGGTCTCAGGGACAGTCTGCCTACAGATCCAGGTGTCTAATCCCCAGATCCAAAGTTTCTCGGCAGCTGAGCTACTGTCCAGTGAGAGTTACACCTCCTTCTCTACAGCAAAAGGTTATGCACCAGCTAGATCAGGAGGTCATCTTGTTTACAGCACAGCACTGTTGGGAAAAATGGCCCTTGTAACATGTCTTTTTTCCTGCAGTTCTAAACAATTCTAATGAAAACTGATGGGTTTGTGCTTTTTTTGCCCTTTTTTTTTTCCCCTGGTGGAATTGCTTGGCCTTTGCTGCTGCTAACAAAGACAATACTGGCATGAGGAGCAGTGTATCTAAACCAGCCAGCAAAAAGGCTGGAAACAGATTTCTAGGAGAGAGATTATGAAGAGAAAGACCGAACCAGAGCAGGGACGGGGCACAGCAGGCTGGCAGGGGGTGTCTGGTTGCGGTGATAAGTAGTAATACAGATACTCCCTTCAAATCTAGGAAAGCAGCAGAAGAAATAACCCAGGAAAACTGTTATATTCCAGGCTAAATTTATAGGAAGATGTAATCTTGTAAATAGATTATCTCAAATTTGTCACCAAAATGGAGGCAGTGGGGTATTCGACCACCGTGCAAACCCAGGCGCACGCCCATCACTGCCTGATCACTGGGAGTCATCACCTCCATGTATGATGCCATTTAGGATCCATTTTTCTAGTTCTCTCTCCTTCCTTCAAATACCAATTCTATCAATTCCAAGGCCAAAAAGCCCACATAACAAGAATCCAGTATATCAGGGGGTCTTCAGAAGGAAAAGAAAAGATTTAAGTATGAGACGTCAGCAATTGCAACAGGACAAGGGACTGTCATAAACATCTTTAATGACATGCGTTCTCCTTCGCTCTTGATACCTCACCCCGTGAATGGCGGATTGTTGACGGCCCTCCCAGAGTTCCTATTAAACTAAAGACATTTGTTTTATTGTTTCCATCTCGGAGCAGGCAATTAAAATGCTTGCAGGGGGATGGTCATACAACCAAGAGAGAACAGCACACCAGCAAGTAGTCTCAAACACGCTCAGCCTTTGGAGAATCGTGGTCATTTTTCCCCTCCCGCAGACATCTGCATGTGTCATCACCCATTCAGCAATTCCACTCTCATCAAAAAAAATCAACCACTTCCCTTTTTAAATTTAACTCAGTTGTAGACAATATTTTGTGAGTGAAACATCAATAAAAACATATTATTTGGCTGCTGTTTGGGAAGAAAAGAAAGGAAGGGTGTGAATAAACCTGTGCCTGTTTCTAATATTTTTAGTTCATGAAAAGGCAGCGTCTATCAGTCAGGTCTCTTGTTTTTATGGAGAACATAATCACAACCCAAAATTTCCTCAAATGCAAGCTGAAATATATATCGGGAGTTCTCCTTCCAGACAGGGAAAGTCTCTGGATGAAATCAATAGTATCTAGAACTGAAACCTTACTGAAAAACATCACCAGAAGACATCAGGTTTTATAGAACTGACCAGCAGAAACGTCACTAGCCAAGACATGGCAGTACTGGAAAGAAGCTATTTGATTAGCGAGAAAAGCCATTCCTGAATTATTTTCTCATTTTGCCTTATTTCTTACAGGAAGTGTTCTTGGACAAGAATTTCAGGGTAAGGTTCAAGGGCAACAAGTCCTTGGGAATGAAAGTATGCAGAGATATTGTTGTGGTTTAATCCCAGCCAGCAATTAAATATTCCACCAGTTTCTGCATTCTTTACAATTTGCTACTTTCAACTGAAGGAACTAGAAATGGTTGGGTTCTCTCAGTTTTACCTCATGAATTGTGCCACAGTACAAAAGGGTTTTGTATCTGAGCTACAGCTAACCAGATAAAAAAAGCTACACAGCCAAGAGCCCCAAAGCTCCCAAACAACTCTCTGCCCTTTTATTGAGATGCATATGTTGCTCAATGCCACAACATCTCTCTTATTACTTCAGCTGCACAGTCTGACTGACTTGGTGACCTTCCATGAAAAACAGCCTCAGAAGAGCACATCTAGATTTATTCCCCCTCTGCGTTTTCTGGGAGAAATGTGGATTGCTATTACAGCATTACGGCAGAAAAAACCAACTTGATTGCTGTTAATTCTTCAAGAAACCCCTGTGAACTCATTCTTTCCATGTGTTCCCTATATAACAACAGCAGAATATTTTAGGTAGGCAATTATTCGAAGGCTGCGGCCACCACCAGCTTTTTGAAGTGGCTTAGTCCTTACTGCACGTCTCTCCAAGAACTGCCCTGCCACGCGTGTTCTGGCGGATGGCGCGCTGACGAAATCCGGGCTTTCAGAAAGCGAGAGCAGTGGTTCTGCTGAAGGGTTACAAAGAGTCGCAGCTGTAGATGTGAAGAAACTTCTCACAGGAACCTAAAGGCAAACAGAAGTGCGGAATGTACGTGGACAGCCAAGCAAGATGCCTCAGCAATAAGAAACTTAAAAAAAAATTAAATTCATGTCTTTTTTCACTGTTGTGACTTCCTGTAGTTTTGTCTGTGCAGACATGTGCCGGGCAGGTGAGCATCAGGCACACTTTGCAGCGCTTGCCCCTTGAGAGGGAGCTGCAAATGTTATACACACACGAAAACAATGCTCGTCCTACACAGTTCCAAGGTTCCCAGTCTGTAGGCTGCCTCAATTTTTGTTACCACTCGTGTCTCTACCATCTCTGAGAAGACTGACACTGAAATAAAACCCAGATGCACATGTGAAGTGACCTAGAGGGCCTCAGCCTTCGGTATAAATTTAATATTTCAGGTCTTAAACCTTCCACAGCTTCCACCCCCAAAGATACAGGAAAGGCCTGGCAGGGGGGGAAACACTCTGGAATTTCTGTGTTAGAATTACAGTGCTCTTTCCAGTTATGCGTGGAACTGGAGGTCAGAGAAGAAATTAAAAAAAACAAAGGGAGGAAAAATGGTAAAATGGGTTAATTCATTTCAACATCTTCATCAAGACAGGTGCCAGATGCTCTTTCAGCTGTGGATCAATTTGAATGTTGCTCAGTTCTTTGATATTGAGGATCATCTCGTGGGCTTGGAAGAAAAGCTCTTTCCCCACAGCATCCTCCACCCGCCTGCGCCACTCCAACAGCCTAGGTCTGTCTTCAAAGATGTCGCAACCAACTCCAACAGGCTGCGGAAAGGGGAGAGAGCAGCAGTAAGTCAATGGGCAGGCACTTCCTCACCAAGACAACAGGCACCAGCAGTGTACCTGCGGGTACAGGCAGGAGAAAACAAGAGCTCAGAGAGGAGCACCAGGAAGGAGGGAAACCTCCTCCCGTCAGGTGTATCTCTCTGGGGTCACAGAAGCTATCCTGTATTTTAAAGGGCATTTCCAAGTCAGTTCCTGAGTGCTGAACAGCTGTTATGAGCAGCAGAGATGACTACCACTTACTGTGGTTTATGGGTACAGCACTGAAGACGTGGTGGGCTGACAGCTCCAGGGACTCTGCAAGTCCACAGCAGAGTGCTGTTCTATAGCAAAACCACAGCACAAAATGCTGAGCATTTCATTGCACTGATGTCTTAGTTGACATCATCTACCCCTCTTCTGCTTTCTGCCCGTGCCACTCTCTGGAACACAATGCAGTAGAGAAGCATTTGTGGTTCGTAACAGACTTAATTCAACTGCCTCTGTCTGTGGTTCAGCCTCGCATCTTCCAGACACAGCATATGCACGTACCATCTGAAGAATATTCTTGTATGATAAAAATACTCCTATATCATTTTCTTGGTTCATCAGACCTCTTGGCTATTGCTTCTCACTTTTATATATTACCTCCTCTGGAGGTTAAAAATGAAGTCACAATAAAGGATGAAGGAGAAGAAATACTGTTTGAGGACAAACACAAGAGATCTGTTGCAGATAGCTTTTTTTCTATCTGGTTTTCTGAACCCACTCCCACATTCTCCTCATTGTCTTAGGCCAGTTCTGCTGAGATATGTCCTCACCCCTCTTCAGTGAAGCGTTACCACATGCTGCACCCCTCCCTGCCTGGCAGCGTCTGTTTTCCCTTGTGCTGAGACTCCCTTACCACACTCCAGCACTCACTTGCATCAGCTCCACAATGGCCACGAGATCCGCCAGGGAGATCTCGCTCCCAATGATAAAAGCCTTGTCCTGCAGAAACCTCTCCTCAAATTGCTTCAGGGAAGTGGACAGCCCCTCCATAACCTCCTGGAGCTTCTCGGAAGGCAGTGGCTGCCCTGTGAAGAGGGGAATCAGCACCTGAGGAGAAAAGGGACTTAAGAGTACAGTTGGCCACCTTCTCATGGACTTGGTGGTGGCCACTGAAGTTACAGCCCATGAACTACGCATGACTGGCAGTGATCCTGCGGCCAAGCGGCAGGAGGGGATGATGCACAGGCAGCTGCAGTTCCAAGGAGCTCCTGGACAAAGAGCACACAAGCAGTCCTAAGTGGCTGACGTGCCATGACAGTAACCTCCAGCTGATGGGCAGCAACATGCAGAATGAAGCTAAGGACTCGGCTCATTCTGTGCCCGGCACTCGTGCCCTCCCACTCCACCCTGGTGGGTTACAAAACGGGCAACCGCTCCAGGGAAGACAAACCTGTGCCACAGTCACCCCTGCGATGTCCTCCGTCTCAACAGCCTGCCGGGACCAGCCCGCCAGCGCCCTGCCATCCGCCTTGCCGTGTCACTGGAGGCAGGCAGCTGCCTGTCCTGCAGGGTGGGAAAGGAGGGCGCGTGGTGGCTGTGGCAGGGAGCGTAGGAGGGACTGGGATGCATCAGCTGGAGAGGCAGAAAATGGTCTTCAGGACAGCAGCCAGCGAGGCTGGGGTGGGCAAACACCATTTCTACACCAGCCTTTCTGTGGCTTCCCACACATCCTTCTTTAAACCACGAGAAATCTTTTCAGAGCAACCATGTAAGTGCAGTCCTTGTCTCCACGGACTTGCAGGCACAGGGGGAAGTTGCCTTTCAGTAAGATTTGTCACCATTCGCAGAGGTGTACGTGCCAGCAGAGCCCGCAGTGTTTCACAACTACGCTGCCTCCACCTACCACAGCTGAAGAAATACTGTTTATTTAGACAAGCAAAACTAAAGATACAAATTTCCATTGGTGGGAGTGGACTGAATTTCTACTTACTGAGAGTATATTCAACTATTCAAGTTGGGATTGCTTAATCCAAGCCAGGATTTTTGCCAAATACATGTGGAATCTATTTCATCAGAAAATTCAGGGCCAGTTCCCTTCCTAAATGGTTCCAGTTATGCACAATGGGATCTCGGGGTAGAGCTGCTTGAAACAGCATCTCCTTCCTTTTCTGTATTTCGGGGCAGTCTCTCTTCTCCCACGTCTAGCTAATGTGCCCTCTGTTACATGGTGGCTTTATACATTTCCCTATTTTCAATTATTCTGAGGACCTTTTCTGTATTTGGGTTATCTAATCAGCAGCAATGAGCTGGATTTCTTTCCCTTGGAGCACTGCAATAACAGCCTGCAGAGACAGGAAGAAACTGCTTCTTGTATGAATCTGACTCATATTTGAATTGTTTCTCTGTGCTCTCTAGCCAAAAATTCAAATGTCAATAAATCAAAAAGCTAAATGAGTCCTAATACGTTTTTTTTAGACACAAACAAGGGCAAACTTTACACAGGAAGAGTGAAGTTCTTACCTGTTTACTGGCAACCCTGATTTCATCTGAAATTCCATACCACAGCTGGATGTGCAGGGCTATATTTGCAACTGGGTCTCTCCAAGGATAGTTCCATTAACTCTCTGGTGAGCTGGCTGGAAATAGGTGTCCAGCAAAATCATCTGATACTGAGTGACTTTCTGCCTCAGGGTGATTCTGTTAATTTTGCCTGAATGCAAACTGATGTGACCACACTGAACAACGAAATTCTGCCATTCTCCCTCTGTCTCTGTTCTGCCTATCCCTGAGCCCATTTCAAAGAAGTACTTCAGTGGGCTGGAGGGAGAAGGCTCCTTCTGCATTTCCACCCAGATGGGGCTGCAGGGACTTCTCACATGAAGTATGCAGGCCCTTCTGCTTCCAGCAACAAAGTATGTGCTCGCCAAAGGAGCAAAACCTCTGTGCGCACACTCCGCACAGCTGTGCGGTGAGGGGGAGGCCCATCTGTTATATACTCGTTCACAGATCCAGGCGATGGAAGTCTGTTGGGCTTTGAGGCTTTCTGCATCAGACTTAGTTCAAGGGAAAAAACTCAAAATGACCAAAGCCGCTTTTTGCTAGATCTTGATGTTGAGCAATTAGGAACAACTCCCTCTCTGACTGCTCCTCTCAGCTAGAACTGCCTACGTTTGTTATTTCAGTGTGACAAACTCTCTCCGAACTGGGGCTGTTTAAATGCTCAGTATTCTGCCAGGAAAACATTGCCTTACTCACATTTTAACATTCAGTCTCCTTACCTTGATCCACATGGTCTTAGGAGCATTAGCCCGCATGTTAGCATGATGCCATGAGAGGTATTCATCCACCTGGGCCCGTTTTTGTATGTCTGACGGGTACCAGTGGTCGGGAGTGTTGTACTTTCGACTCAGATACAGCAGAATGGCAGTGCTGCCCAGACATCAGGAAAAGAGAAGAAAGGGATCGGGGAGTTATGATGCAGAATGCTTTTGCCTAAGCTCCTTCTCCTGCCCCTTCTGAACTTGCTGCTTCCATTAAAAAGCATTGAGATCAGGATTTCCGAGGGAGTCTAGGGACCATATATAGGCATCTCATTCATGTTGACATCAGGGATGGCACTTAATCATCTTAGTTCCCATGAAAACTTTAACCTGCTGGAAAATCACAGCACTGTCCTATGGTGCAGAGCACGGCTGGACAAACAGTAAACCTCCATCTTCATTCACCAGCAATGCTAACCCCACTGGTTCCTTGAGTGTTCTGACCCGTCTCTCTGAGACCATGTTTATGTGCTCGTACACGAAATGAAACTCTCTAATAGCTTATGTTGCCCTTTCATCAGATGGCTCTCTAGCCTGCAGCTTCCACTGAAGTCAGTGGAAGTCCCAGCAAGGACAGCCTGGGAGAAAAAAGAAGAATCTTTTTGTGTTTGTCCAGATGTTTATACTTTCATTAATTGGCAGGAGAAGTCAGATGGAAAAACATCTTAGTCATCTGCAACAATATGTAGGCTGTTACTACAAAAAGAGATGCCACAGAAAATCCTGTGCTGACAAAACAGAAGAAAATGCAGACCCTCCTGCTATGCTGATACCGCTACAGTTCAATTATTTCCATATTACAACACCATTAACTAGTCTCCATATTAATCTTATAACGTAAACCCTATATTTTCTCTCTGTAGGTGTTCACTTGGCCTTTATGATTAATTCAGATAAACAGAATTTTTTCCTAGGCTAAAAGGGATTTTTAATAAGCTTTAAACATTTCCCAGAAGTGTTTATAATCCCATTTTGAGGTAGGTGCATTCAGGGTAAGATCAAGAAGTTAAGTCAGCTGATTTGTTTACATCCTGAAAGATAATTCAAACACAAAATGGAAACAGAGCAAATGAGGTTGTACCATTTAAAATAACCAATGCGTTCATAAACTCTGTGATCCTTAATCATTCAGCGGGAATGACATCTCCTAAATGCTGCACAGATTGCTGGTACCCAAGGAATTCTAAGGACTGAGTTCTTACCATTCTGCTAGGGTGAAGTCTCCGTCCTTTAGTGCTGGTACTTTCTTCAAGAGGCTGACTTTGCCAGCTCCTTCACTGTTCGATGGCCCTAAGAACAGGAACAGACAAGTCAGAGGTTAGCCGTGCATTCAGCGTCAGTGAATGAGAAATGAAATACCTGTAGCCAACTGGACAATCAGTGAACTGTGTTAGATTTTCCATTCACAATCAAAAGGAAAGGAAGATGAGGAATCGGGGCAAAAGCTATCTGCAGAGGGCAGTCAGCTCAGCCAGGGTGTGGCATGGAGCAGTTCACATTTCTATCCAGGAATTTTGTTGCTTGACTCAGGAAGCATTAATACTTGCAAAACTTGCTGAAAAAAATCCCCCCCTGAGAGGCACTTGGATACCACAGTGAAGGTGCTGGTATTGAAAACACTATTGCAGATAGCCAGGAACAACTGACTTGAGAACAGTGTGTCCGTGTCCCTACAGCTTTAGGGACAGCGGAGGAAAAGACAGAAGTTAGGATGAAGACAACTGAGCAGCTAAAAAATACTAATTTTGCCATGGAAGCAGGGTCGGGGAAAGCTGAGTTGGCATGCAGAGCATCCTAATGAGGGCAGATGGTTGCTGCTCCTGCTCCCACAGGCAACACCAAACCAAAGAAATTTTCCTGCAGTTTGTAAACGCGGCTGAGTCCAGTGAGGATGGAGTCATTATGGAAAGCAGCTGAAAAGCCTTGTGCCCACAGAGATCACTGCAGTGGCTGATTAGTCAACGAGAACCCAGCTGGCCTATAGCACGGAGCAAAACCCTGCTCCTGTTTGTGAGAAGGAGAGGGAATTGAGCATTTACAAAGAAAGCAAATGCTGTCAAGAGAGCTGATCCCTCGGCAGACATGCAGCTGGGGATGTTTCCAGAGTTTTTGCTGGGATGGGAAAACCATGAATGTCAGCAGTACAACAGTGAGCAGTTAAATGCCAGGGAATTGTACAGACGTCCAGAAACACCTCTGTAAGAAAAGGTGCGAGGAGTTTGTATGGCTTGTTTGAAGTGCTCTCTAGAAGGAGACGTGACATTTCAGGGTGCAAATCCTGACCGAATCGGCAAGACCAGGAGGAGGTCTTGCACAAAAATCCCTTTGGTTAGAAAAAAAACAACAAAAAGTGCCATTAATGAACAGACAGTGATCTACATCCCCAAGAACTATTTGCCCCATTCATGAGGCAGTGGCAACATCTGCTTTCCCGGACAAAAGTGCAGGAGAAAATAGTCCCCAAGAAATAAAACCAGCCTTTGGACTACCAAGTTTATTTGCAGCTGGTTCTGGGAAGAGGTGGGAGAAAGGAAGGTTGCTGCACTACAAATTACAGACTACCTTTCCAATATTGATTTCACATAATAAGACAAATCAAGCAGAGCAAACATTGCCACCCTCTTCTCCTTTCTAGCTGACTAGCCTCTACCTTGTTTCTTCTCTGGGAAGTGCTTTTTAAAATTCTGGGGTAAGTAGCTTCATTGGAGGCCAAGGTTCACCTCCGTCGGCTCTCTGAGGGGACTCAAACCCACATCTCCCGTCTCCCTGGGAAGTGTCTGGCTACCTGCAGTGATGGTGGCCTGCAGCTTAGCTGGGTAAGAGGTTCTACATGCACAGCAGACCAGAAGAAACGGCGTCTTAAGAATCAGAGACAGACGGAAAGCGCAAGCTAAGCCTAATAACTGAGAAACTTGAATATAAAAAAAGAAATTCCCCAAAATCAAGCCAGCAGGCAAAGCACTAGGAAAAGGTGCCTTAGGCCCATGATTTATATCGTAAAAACAGTGTGGCAAATTTGTGTAAATCTGCTCTGGGAAGATGCTCAGTCCTGTGCTTTCAGAAGGGCTCCAAAGGCCAGTGGTCATCACACCCCCAGCTCCGGTGAGATCCGTAGAGTTCAGGTGAGCTTTGGAAAAACGCAGCAAAAGTTGTAAGTCAATAACTCTTACAGGTAATGAGCAGCCAAATCTCAGACCCAGCTGTCTGGTTGTCTGCTGTATTTATCACCCGCGGTAGCGAGCAACTGAGAAACAGCAGCAGCGGGCGAGGGCAGCCTGAATCAGATTTCAGCCTGCTCTCATCACCTAGCAGCCC